AAATGGGGACAATGGGGCCTACCTCATAGGAGGGCTGTAAGATTACATGGCATAATATGCATATGGCTTTGGGAACATTCCTGCCATGTGGAAGTGACTCTGCTATGTTTACTAGTTTTATTATGCTAACACAACCGACAGGTCAATGATGATGGGGGCTGGAATAAGGGCATATGAAAGAGGATGAGCATGGGAGGCCACCAGGTGACTGCTCTGTGGCACCTGTAAAACTCCCATGGGAAACTTGCAGGGTGACTAGGAACAATTTCAAGGATGCTGAGTCCGTACGTATGAAGATAGAGGAATCCCGGAGATTTCACCATATTTATAAGACTTGAGCTAGTGAAACCAGGAGACATCTGGATAGGAAATGTGATGCTAAGCAGAGAGATGTACACCTCAGGCATGGCCCCACAGCTGAGGGCTGGGGAGTCAGGTTGGGAAAGTCCACTGCTGGCTTGGTCCAGGGTGCACCGCCCCCCAGGTACCCCTGCTGTCTGATGATGTCACTATGTGAAGTCACACGTGATCCAAGGGATGCCTAGTGATGGAGCTGACTTGTCTGGCTCATCAACCCCATAAAATCATTTTCAGATCATGCCTATTTTGAAAAACTAGAAGTATAGCCAATGGGAGGCCTCCATGATGATAAGAGGTTCCAAAACTGACTTGGGAACTTCTTAGCAAACTGTGCAAACAAGGAAAAAAAAAAAACTCCAAGATGCGATGTGAGGCAGGACTACATGATCAAGTAGAAAATGCAAACTGCTTTCAAGTAATTTATGGAATTGCTGTCAACAGTGAAGCTGTGGAGATTGACCAATTCACGTCTCAAAGAGGATCTGTCTGAAGGAAGAGCGTTTATGTCTCAAGAGATAAATGGGAGACCAAGAAAGAACCTTTACGATACAAACCCAGAAACCACTTCATCTTGGACTGTGTTCCTGGATTTTGGTTCTGGGTGTGAATTTCTGGCTGTAACAAAAATAAGTAAGCAAGCAAGCACTCTACCTCTTTCCAACTCTTTTTTGTACATATCAGATGGAACCTCAGGTCTATTGTTTTAATTTTAATATCCACCACCAGCTGTGTCCTGGAAATAAAGGCTTATCTTACAAAAAAAAATCTGAAGAAAATGATGACAAGGCTGTTTATGGGAAAGGATCTCAGCCTTAGGAGGCAATATGTAGAAATGAGCAAAGAAGATGGAAAAACAGGAACATAAAATCCGGCCATCCTGAAGTCTTCTCTCTCCTTACTCAGTGATTTTCAAATTATAGCTTTATTTTGGCAATACTATAAAAGTAATGCTGATAAGCTAGTTACTAAAATCTGGGTATGACATATTTTAATATAGCAAGGAAATAAAGTTTTATTTTTAAAGCTGTTGATGAAATTTCTCTTAAGGAGAAAGCATCTTTTGCTTAGCAAAATGTCTTGAGGAGCCACTTGGTTGTGGAAAAGTAGGCTCTGGAAATATTGTTCAAAGGAAGACCATTAAGCCAAAGAAAAATCTATTTCTCTGCCTAATAATAGAAGAAAAAATAGGTTTCCAAGGGCAGATTGAAATGGCGGGGGCAGAATAAGCTGATAGAGAGGTAGGTGGAGACACAAGGGAGGAGGGAGAGAGTCCAGGAAAATGAAATCTGGAGGGTCCAGGAGAAGAGAGCTCAAGAGAAACTCTCACACTGGTAGAAAAAGCTGGGAATGTGTCAGTCTAGAAATCAAGAGATCTCTCACACTTAGTTTTAAAGAACTGGCCGTGCTCCGAGGCAATACAATCCCCGTTGTCTCGAACTCTGTAAAAATGGGCTACACACGAATGGCATCAAAGGAAAAAGCAACTGTGCTCACGATTGAGATGAAAAGAACCCCATGAAGCAAGAGAGAAGTAAGATTGAGAATTTAGTAGGAGCAGAAAGCCTAGAAGAATCAGCCCAGCCCCTGAGGATTTGCACAGTGTCTAGAAATGCATGCTGGCTTTCCCTGTATGTGCATGTGATGGGGCCCCAAGCCATCTTTCTTTGAATACCGATGGTTGGGGTGATCCAGGAGTTGGAATTGGGGAACACCCCGAGAGACCGTATCTGGATTAAGTAAGTGTCATCTCTCCTGGGATGCAGAAATTCCCTTGTTAAAGGAAGACAGTGCGGCACCACTACGTAGCCCGCAGCTGGTGCCATCGCCAAACTGTTCTAATCGTTAGGGAGGCAGCTGGTGACACGCAAGTCCAGCCATTACAGCTGGGCGAGTGGCTCTGGCTCTAAGGTGATTGCTTGGGATGCAGCTGCCAGAGCACGATCCCTTTACGTACGGAGCAAACGTTCCCGTGAGCTTTTGGGGTGGCGATGGAAGGAGTGAACCTATGGGCCCGGAAGTCTGCGTGACTTGGACCAAGACATGACTTTGGGGGGTGGGAGTCGAGCTCTTCCTCGTGTCCACCCTTCTCCTCCAGAGGTGATGTCCTCTGCACTCGGTGTATTTTCAAGATCTGAGAGGCACTAGTCAGGGAACCTGGCTACACATCGCACAGTGCCCAGTGGGGTATTTGTTCTCCTAAGTTTTCTATGACCCTGATGGTGATTTTTTTTTAAGAACTTAAAAAAAAAAAGAACTAGAGGGTATTATGCTAAGTGACAGTGATTAGAAAGTCCTGACAGTGACGGTGCGTCAAACTGTTGCATCCTGGTCCCTGCAGACGGGTGTAAAGAATATGCACCTGGCCTCTTCCCTCGGGTGCCTCCAGGGAACCCCTACCTTGCACCCTTGCTCCCCACGCTCCCCCAGCGGCTCTTCCCAAGGCCAGCGGTGACCAGCTAAGGGAGACTGGAGTGGCCTCCCTGCGTCCTCCCGGCCTCTGGTACCCCGTCAGGTGAGCGGTGATGTAAGGCTGCCCAGGGCTGAACTGACCAGCAGGTGAGGTACTTCAGCCTCGGGAAACCCGAGGGCTCCAGGGATTCTGCTCCCACTCAGGAACCATCGTTGATGAGGCTCTCCTTTGCCCGAACTTGCGGGGGGGCTCCTCTAAGTGCCCCCCTCGGTCCTGAGCTCACTTAGTTGGGTTTGGACAAGAACCTGCTGTGTCAGTTCAGCAAGAATCCCTCACCCTTGGTATCTGAGCGACCCCCGACATCTGAGCCAATCCCCCCCCATGTGTGCTCCCCACGCCGGCCTGCCTCCTGTCGAGTCCTGGGACACAGCTTTAGCCAGGGCCCTGGGCTGGATGGTTTCTCTCTGCCCCGTGGCTGTGCATTTCCACTTTTCCTTGTCATATCTGAAATCCCGCTCGATCCCCCCACTGGGAGGCACCTGTTGCAGTAGTTTCTCTGGATAGTCTTCCTTTTGGTCTTTTTTTTTTTTTTTAAGATGCATTTATTTATTCATGAGACAGAGAGAGAGGCAGGCTCCATGCAGGGAGCCCAATGGGACTCAATCCTGGGACCCCAGGATCACGCCCTGGGCTGAAGGCAGGTGCTCAACCGCTGACCCCCCAGGGGCCCCCCTTTCATCTTTAACAAGTAGCTGAATGCTTTCTCTTTCACACCATCCGAGAGGCTGATTCCACAGCGCTCTTCTGGAAAAGCTGCCCTTGCGATCCTCCTCACACCCCCAGGGCCCTGAACCCCAGATCCGCTCTCTGAGGCTGCCTCCAAACCTCTCCTCCACCCCCTCTGCTGGTCCCTTGGGCCGCACCGTGGGCTCCCGTGTGCCCACGGGACTGCTGTTGTCTCTGGCCTCCTAATGCTCTCACTGCTGCTTCCCAGATCTCTCCGCTCGCGCACACTCACACCCCGTCCTTCCTCCCCACCGATGTCACAGTAACCTAAGCACGGCTCTGGCCTTACTCCTTTGGCATCGCTCCTCCAGCCTCTCCCCATGCACACCTACATACAACCTTGTGTCGCATTCTCCAAGTCTTTTTCGCTATTCTCCTGGCTCCAGGAGCCCGCCCTCCTGGGCCTGAGGCTTCCCCCACCGGGACCACCCCTTCCCCTCCCTCTGCCTTTCGAAATGCTCTCCGAAAGTCAGCGTAGCCACCATCTCCTCCGGGAAGGCCTCCCTGACCCTGCCCAGGGTGAAGCGGGGTGGCCTCCTGCGCTGCCTGTCCCAGGCCTTCCTCCCCACAGGGCCACGCTGCAAAAAGGAGGACAGGACGTGGCCGGTGGACAGGGATTCTCAGTGTCCCCTGTGACTCAGGGAGGCCCACCCAGCTTGGTGGCGGGCTGTGGGCATCCGAGTGGGTCACCGTCCCCAAAGTCCAACGTGATTACTTTTGGTGGCTTGGCACCCTGCCCGTACGGAGCCATGCCTCCCTGAGCCTCCGGGTGCCCCGGGCTCACCATCATCACCCTGCTACCGGCTGCGCAGGCCCGGGGCACCTGCACGGTGGCCACTATGCACTGTTGTCTCCACTGTCGCCGGACCTCAAGGAACTGAGAACTGCAGGTGCCGGAGGCTACGGCAACATTCTCGCAGAATCCTAGGTGATCGGACGTGTCAGACACACGCGAATCTACTGCAGCATTTGGTGGCCCGAGAGTCGCAGTAGTTGCATCGCTTGTCAAGTAAGCTGCAAAGTCCTTGCGAGCGGGGACGTGTCTCCTTCAGCTTCGCATCTCCAGGAATCCTGCTTGATAAGCAGTTGCTGAACGTTGGTGGAGGGAAGGAGGAAGGAAACGGAGCCGGGAGCTCCCGAGGGCTCACCCAGGGCCAGCACTTAGGACACCGATGTTCTTAGGGAGGAGTCTCCAAAGTTAAAGATTTGCGGATAAAAAAAAATTAAATAAATAGAGATTTGCGGGTGTACATGCTGACATTGTTCACGCGGTGCTTATGCTAGATTTACGATATAGGCAGCATTGCAAAAATCCTGAGCTATCCCATTACCCCCCAAGCTGCTGCCCCTAGCAGGGGTTGTATCAGTCCGGTGTAGAAATGCTGCTTTTAGCCAACGACAAGCTGTTCTGATTCGTGGCTTTTCATATATTTATTCTGTACAGCGAAAACAAACCCGTCATTATTTAGGATGATGCTTTGGTAAGCAGAATCGGTCACATGCAAGAAGAAAAAGAAGAGATGTTCTCGATGCCCAGTGCTTCGAGAGCCAGCGTAGTGCAGCTCAGTTGTAAAGAATGAGACGTCACTAGTATTTACTTTTAGCAAAAACTGTGGTCAGAACAACGGCGTCCTCAGTTATGCGGGCGTGGCCTACACAAGTAGACGAAGAAGAATCGGGAGACTGAGTAAAACATTCAGCTGCTCCATGTGGATGGAGAAAAGCAGGAACAAAGCAGAGGCTTCATTCGTTCCTAGTTGGTGCCAAGAGACAATTCACCGGCCCTCATGAGATCCTCCCTGGAAGAGGACCGGTATGGAGGGTAAGTGAATCCTATTTGTTCACTTTCTATTTGACCAGAAATTTCTGCATATGTTGTATTAGCACACTGGTCAATTTCAAATGACACGTATCCAATTCGAATCCGTTTGGCCCTAATGTCCGTTTATTCATTCTCACAGTTGAAACGATGAGGAGGACCAGGTTGGAGTTCAGGCATGGCTGGATCCAGGACATCGCATTGTGTCCTGAAGATGCAGTTGCTGCATCTCCGCCTTTAAGCTCTGCTCCATTCCTCCTTAAGCAGGTTTTCGCTACTCAGCAGCACAGATTATTCAGTAGCTACAGACTTAAACAGCTCTTTGCTTTTGCCATCTCTAGAGGGAGCGAACTTCTGTTCGGCCCTACCGCGGCTCTGAATGGTTCTGCTGGATGAGACGTCCACCTCAAGACACATTAGTGAGTTCGAGAGATGGGGTATGCTTGTCCGGTCTGGCTCAGATGCCCAACCCTCAGGAAAATCTCTGTGTGACGGACAGACCAACAAAAGTCTCTGGAAGGGGAATTTCCCAACAGAAAGAAGAGTTGCTTACATACTAAGAGTAAGATCTGTGCGGAGAATCTCCTCCGCCATCCTGTCCACAACCTTCCCACATATGACCTAATCCTATTTTTTTTCTTTTCCTGAAAGGCCTGAAAAATTTCCTCCTAGGTCTCGTGCAAAACAAAGCAAAGCAAAACAAAACAAGACAAAAACTATTTGAGGTTGGAAAAGCCACGACTTTCCAGGCACCGTACTAGGATGGAAGGCTTCGAATGCTCAGCGTCTAACAAGTACTTGCTCAACCTTGATGCCTCGGCTTCAGTAAAAAAGTACCTGTTCTTTACAACAGATTTACCTCTTCGGCCGAGATGGAGATGCTAAGACAGGATAACTTAAAAGCTGGAAGAAGCCAAATAACAGTTTTCATCAGGGAAATAAAATAGCATCAATTCTCTGGATTGGACACCACCCAAGAAAAGCCATTATCCAGCAGTGACACGTGAAAGATCTGCTTTGATTTCATGCAGGAGGGTATTTAGCAGTGTCAAGACAAAACACGCCAACTCCCATGGGCTGTCAAAAAAAAAAATGCCATTAGAAGCACAACCCTGAAAAAAACAAATCCACTCCCATTGCAAATGTCACCAAGCTTTTGATGGAAAATGGATGCATTTGGCTGGAAAGAGTGAAAGAAGTGGGGGTAGCAGGGGACGAATGAATGAAGAAGGAGAGAGACAGTGGGAGAAAAGTGACCTTTTATCTACTCCAGATGTATGTGAAAGTGGAATGTTCAAGAATACAGACTTTGACCAGAAACAGGAAGACAAATACTGTGACGATCTCACTCACATAATAATAAAGTGGTCAAATAATAAAATAGTCAAGTAATAAAATAGCCAAATAATGAAATAGTCAAATAATAAAATAGTCAAACTCATAGAAGCAGAGGGGCTGGAGGGGCAGCGGGAGGTGGAGAGGGGATGGTCAAGGGTATACATTTTTTGTTTTGCACAGTGAATAAATTCTGGCTACGGGCTGGCTACCCAGCATAGTGCCTCAGAGCCCACAGTACTTAGAATTTTCTAGGTAGGTACGTCTTATGTGAGGGGATTTTAGCACAGTAATAATGATGACTGCGACGGCGATAGTAATAAAGGGGGCAGGGAGAAAGTGGGCGAGGCGATGGAGAATGTCTGTGGCCCCGATGGTGGTGATGGTCTCACATGTGTGTACTTACACTCAAACTCATCACCTGGTACACATTCGGTATGTACAGTTTGGTTTTTGTTTTTTTTTTTAATATATCAATCATACCTCAACCAAGTAATCTTAAAAAAACTGATCACCTTAGAGAGTGATAGCTCAGGAGCTCAGGGTTCCTTTTTGGGGTGATAAAAAGGTTATAAAAGAGATCAGTGATGGTTGCACAACTCCATAAATATAATAAATCACTGAATTGGACACTTTAAATGGGTGAACTATATGTGGCTTAAATCTCAATAAAAAAATAATATAAATAAATAAATAAATAAATAAATAACAAAAAAATAAAAATAAAAAGTAAATAAATCTCAATCAAGCTGTTTAAGAGTGCAGCCCAGGTGGCTCAGGGGTTTAGGCCCCGCCTTCAGCCAGGGCGTGATCCTGGGGTCCCGGGATCAAGTCCCATGTCGGGTTCCATGCAGGAACTTCTCCCTCTGCCTGTGTCTCTGCCTCTCTCTCTCTCTCTCTCTCTGTCTCTCATGAATAAATAAAATCTTTAAAATAAAAATAAAACCTATTTATAAAAAAATAGGCTGCTTAAGAAAAAATATTTTTGAAAAAAATATTTTGATTAAGAAAGAAAAAAAATGAGCACAGGCTTCGGACTCAGATGTGAGGTCAAGGTCAGGCCCTGCCACTTAATTGTTACCTAAGCTTGGTTACTTAACCTCCCAAGGTCTCTGATTCTTCATGTGAAAAACAGGAAGAAAAATAATAGTGCAGTTAAGGCTTAAAAGCAGCCATGCCCCAGTGGTGCTGAGCCAGGCCCGCGCAGGGCCCACACTGAGGGCCCACACAGAGTGAATCCGCGGCATTACAGGGTGGTGGGGACGGTGTATCCTGGCGCTCCATGGAAAATATTTCCAGAACAGAGAAGCTATTTAAATTCATCCACTTAAAAATACCGAGCTAGAAATCCCGGATAGGCTTTGCCTCTGTATGTCATGGATAGAATAGCAAAGTGTGAGTAAACACACTCCTGTTTGACAGCTGCACACTAGGAACCCGCATCTAAAGAACCTTCAGCATGATGGAGTTGGCCTTTTTTGCAGACACTAGAGGTCCCTGTTGGCACTGAATCTTCCAGGCCTCGGGACTGAGAATTCAGAGTGACAGTTTTCTCCTTCAGCCCCACTAGATGTCTCTTCAACAAAGTTCTGGGACCCTCAGCGCCCTGGCATCAAGTCGGTTTGCCCAGAAACCCTCACACGGAAAGGTCCCAGCTTTATTTTTTTATTTTTATTTTTATTTTTATTTTTATTTTTATTTTTATTTTTTTGGTCCCAGCTTTAAATTACCAACTTGCTTGCATGTGGATACATCCTAGAAGCCACCTTTGTGCTGCCACACATGTGATCCCGATAGAAGGCGTTTGTTTTCCAGAAGCATTTTCTGGTATTAAGACACGGGGGAAGCAAAGAGGACAGTGACGATTAATTTAATTTGGGGTTAATTTGGAAATCACAGAGGGTACTTGGAAGCCAGAGGGGAAGTCCTCTTCAAGAAATTAAGAATAAGGTTGCTGTCTCAGAGCTAAATTGTCAACTCCAGGCAGCCCAGCTCAGCAGTTTAGCGCCACCTTTGGCCCAGGGTGGGATCCTGGAGACCCGGGATCAAGTCCCACGTCAGGCTCCCTGCATGGAGCCTGCTTCTCCCTCTGCCTGTGTCTCTGCCTCTCTCTCTCATTCTGTCCCTCACAGATAAATAAATAAAACCTTTAAAAAAAATTTTTTTTTAAATTGTCAACTCCACAGAGGCCTTAGAGATTCGCAGTTACCTTAACACACCAAAGCCGCTCACAGGCCAGAGCAAGACTTGGTTCTGTGTTGTTGGAAGGGGCTGATGCATCAAAAGGAAAACAGCGTATGCTGGCAGCTGGGCATCCAGGGAGAGGTGGAGAGAGTGCCAGAGGCTTGCTAGGGTAATGTAGCAGAGAAAGGGGGCCCCTGGGCCTGGGTCTGCAGCAGAGCAAGCCCCAGTGAGGGACTGGACCCTCGCGTATTGAACCCTGAAGCGCCTGGGCAGTCACGTCATCAGAGTCCATCCTGACCAACAGGACCTCCAAGGTCCTGTGAGCTCCTGCGTCTGCCCACAGGGAGAGAAGGAGCCACTGAAGGCCCACGGGGGAGAGTTCTGCTCCGTGTGACATGCATTTCTCATTCTGAACCCTGCATCTGGCATATTCTTCAATGCCTTCCGAGTTTGGCAGCGTGCACTGGCCTGTGCCGGCCTCCTGAGCTCTAGGACAGTCACAAGACTGAGGTTCCCACCCCGTAAGGCAGAGAGGGGGTCATGTGCTGGGTCGAGGTGTCTTCCCCAGTACTTCCACCTGGGAAGAGCTCTCCGTGAGGCTGTGAGCTAGCTCCTGGAATGCATGGCTTCCTTATCCGTGTCCAGTTTACATGGTCCTGAGTCGTGGTGAAGCCAGCTGTTCTCCAGCGTCCATAAAGGCCATGCACTGAGACAACGCCCTCCGTGATGGTACCAACGGCGGCGCTTTCCTAGGGGCAGAGGCTAAAGGATTGGGGAAGGCTCGCATCCTCTGGGCCTTCTTTCTTATTGACACAGGATGACAGCTCCAGTGAACCCCCGGCCAACACCAAGTTGAGAAGCCACGGCCCGGCTGACCGTGGGAATGTAGTCCTTCATTCAGCAAATAGCCCGTGTGCACCTGTTGCCGCCAGATGCTGTCCCCAAGCCAGGGATGCGCAGTGAATTAAACCAAAACTTTCGCCCTGGGGGAGCTATTCTTTATGGTCGCATAAACAGAACCAGGAAACAGGCACAGAACTGAAGTACAGAATGCGTCCCCACTGTGATGAGCACAGCACAAAAATAATAAGTAAAATAAAATAAAAACCCCACAAGGAAGAAGCACCAGAATGGCAGGTGGCGAAAGTGATGGGGGTGAGGCGCCCTGAGGTAGACCTTGAAGAAGGCTGCCGGAGAAGCCTACTGCAGCCAAGTACAGCAAGTGCAAAGGGCCCGGGGCGAGAGCGTGTGAGGAGCACCCATGTGGCTGGTCAGGAACGGGGGGAGAGAAGGTTATGTCGCAGACCTAAGGGTGGGAGGGGGAATTTGATCAAGCTGGGCATTGGGAAATGTAAACATAACCCAGAATTTAAAATGCGCTGATAGGGGATCCCCGGGTGGCTCAGTGGCTTAGCACTGCCTTTGGCCCAGGGTGTGACTCGAATCCTGGGCCTCCCTGCATGGAGCCTGCTTCTCCCTCTACC